CAAATGAATTGTTATATAATGCATTGCAATTTACAATACAATACAATACAATAGCAAAGTTGGAAGGACCTTGGAGGTCTTCTAGTCCAACCCCCTGCCTAGGAAGGAAACCCTATACCATTTCAGACAAATGGCTATCCAACATCTTCTTAAAGACTTCTAGTGTTGGGGCATTCACATCTTCTGGAGGCAAGCTGTTCTACTGATTAATTGTTCTAACTGTCAGGAAATTTCTCCTCAGTTCTAAGTTGCTTCTCTCCTTGATTAGTTTCCACCCATTGTTTCTTGTTCTACCCTCAGGTGCCTTGGAGAATAGTTTGACTCCCTCTTCTTTGTGCAACCCCTGAAATATTGGAACACTGCTATCATGTCTCCCCAGGTCCTTCTTTCTATTAAACTAGACATACTCAGTTCCTGCAACCGTTCTTCATATGTTTTAGTCTCCAGTCCCCTAATCATCTTTGTTGCTCTTCTCTGCACTCTTTCTAGGGTCTCCACATCTTTTCTACATCTTGGTGACCAAAACTGAATGCAGTATTCCAAGTGTGGCCTTACCAAGGCATTATAAAGTGGTATTAACACTTCACATGATCTTGATTCTATCCCTCTGTTTATGCAGCCTAGAACTGTGTTGGCTTTTTTGGCAGCTGCTTCACACTGCTGGCTCATATTTAAATGGTTGTCCACTAGGACTCCAAGATCCTTTTTACAGTTAATACTGTTGAGCAAGGTACTACCTATACTGTACCTGTGCATTTTGTTTTTCTTGCCTAAATGTAAAACCTTACTCTTTTCACCATTGAATTTCATTTTATTAGATAGTGCCCAATGTTCAAGTTTGTCAAGATCCTTCTGTATTTTTAGCCTATCTTCTGGAGTGTTGGCTATTCCTGCCAGCTTGGTGTCATCTGTAAATTTGATGAGTTCCCCATTTATTCCCTCATCCAAATCATTGATGAAGATGTTGAAGAGTACTGGGCCCAAATCAGAGCCTTGGCGTACTCCACTGCATACTTCCCTCCATGAAGATGAAGTTCCATTGAGGACTACATGTTGAGTGCCACTGGTCAGCCAGTTACAAATCCATCAGATGGTGATGCTCTCTAACCCACATTCTTCTACTTTATCTAGTAGTAGGTTATGGTCTACCTTATCAAATTCCTTACTGAAGTCCAAGTAAACTATATCGACGGCATTCCGTGGTCCACTAATTTTGTCACATTATCAAAGAATGCAATGATTAGTCTGGCATGATCTGTTTTTGACAAACCCATGTTGGCTTTTGGCTATTACTTTGTTTGCTTCTAGGTGTTTGCTAATTTATTGAAGAGTTGATGGATCCAGATTATTACACCACAGATACAAAATATATAATTCAGTCAGTGGTAGTAGTTTGGCAGCCTACGTCACTGGAACCGGCAGGACCCAGGCTTGCCACGCCCCCGAACCAGTTTTCCAGGCAGCACCATAGGCACCACCATCTTGTTTTTCATTGCATTATGGGCAAATGTGAACACGCGTGTATGTGCGTCTGGCACGCACACAAAATTGTGCATGCACCGAACCGGCAGTAATGCTGGCAGCAATCCACCCCTGAATTCAGTATATACACACCAAAAGTTAAATAAGTATTTGAGCTTCACCATGGATTTAAAAATCAATGTATATAAATAATAAGCCCATTCCCTGAGGGCGCAAAATATCATTCATAATGAATTGTACTTTACCACAAAATGAATTTGAGTCAGTAGAGTGAAACAAATGCAAAGACAGGCAAGGGCTTCTTTAGGCTGCAATTATTAATATACAGATATATAGCTATGAAATCATATAAAGCAATATACCTCTACTATCTTCAGTGATGGTCAGAGCCATGCCAAATACCATTTCTATTTCTAAATACCACAATTTTAGAAGTACTCAGATGTAGTAGAACAGAAACGACATTGAGAGTGATGGGACTTGAAAAACCTACCTATGATTAACTTTGAGAGAAAAAGGATCAAACTATATTATCCTGGATATAGATGTGGAGTAAATAACACTGAGTTTGCCCTTTGATATATTTGGGGAAGCGTAGTTGAGCTATCATTACCATTTCTGGATCAAACCTCAGTTGGGGATTCTTGCAAGTAATGGAGAGGAAGAGGAGGAAACTTGATCAAATTATAACTTAATCAGAATAACTAAGGAAAATTAAAACAACTTTCTGAGAAATGATACATAACTTTTGTACCTTGATGACTGAGACCTCCATAGTTTTACCAGGTTCCTACTGCACTAAATAAGAATACATTACCAAATCCCACAGAACTTCAAAATAATAAACATCTATATTTAATTTGCTCATATCAGTAACTGCTCTATTTTTATTGCTTTCCCTGAAATACTGTGGATCCTAATGAGCAATAACAGATGCAAAATAGTTCACATCAAAAAAATAAATAAACAAGCCAATCTTTCCTTAAAAGCCTGCTTCCTTTAAAGCCTCATTTTCTCCAATTCAGTATTTTCTTTTGTATGTTTAAACATTATAGGGACATTGTCTCTTTGACCAACTCATTCCTTTTTAAACCATTTGTTTTCTACAAACACAGCATTTATGCACACACCTGCCCACACGCACAGATAAGTGAAAGACTGTTGTTGTAACTTGTTCAACATTAAAAGCTTTTTTCATTTTGTCTTCCCCTTGGGCTCACTGACCGTGGCATTGCAGCATTCAATTTACCCAACACAACGCCATCAAAGAAAGAAAACACAAATAAGCTACAAGATGGGAAACGTACGTCACTCCTATTAAAAAAACAGTGGCACTATTCAATCTGAACGTCATGAAGCAGGAGAAAATATGAAACTTTAAAAAGTAGATGCACTTGAAAGTTGAGGGTTTTTTTTCCATTAAAGGGATGGAGTGGCACCCTCCCGATGTTGGTTGAAAAGCATTTTCTCTCTGTGAGGAAGCATCACAAAAATCAGAACAATTGCTATGATTTAGAGTAGCAAGCAGTGCCACCCAGTGTTGAAATGCAATTTTAATTTTCACCCCAGGCCACTTTTTATCATATTTTAAAAATCTATTGATGGGACAAGCGATGGTCTTCAAAAATTATAGTGGAAATGAAACTATTTAATAAAATAGTAATAATTACTGATCTGTTAATAAATTGTTCTATGAAGGGGGGGAGAACCTAACATGGAAGATTATAACTATCAACTGCAAATCCTCTGTAGCTCCAATAGTGCCTAAAAAGGGGCAGAGGGATCAGGAATCAGATAATGTTTCCAAACAAATGATTAAAGTAAAGGAGAATGACTTCAAAGCAGTACACTATTTCCCAAGCTATTCAAGAACTGTATCTCTAGGCACCCAAGAGTCTGTTAAACAGTTGATGGCAGATGCAAAAGTTTTACTTCTCCACCTCTTCATAATGGCTTAGTAAACAGGCTATGCTTCAAACCCTTCATATCACAGACCCATTAGTTGGTAGGGGTATATATTTGTTTTTCTTTTTTTTCACCTTACCAAGAGCCACTAGGGACATGATACTGATGTCATCATGCAGCCATATGGCCCTTTTCCACGGGAAGACAGTAGATTGCTGGAACAACCATGGCATTTCTTTTAGACTCTTCATGGAAAATAGTGTAACTATTACTGAAGGAAATTCTGGTGAAATTAGGCCACCTGAAAGCCAGCTGGGTGACCTTGGGTCAGTAGCCTAAAGAAGCAGGCAAATACCACTTCTGAAATCTACCCAAGAAAACTGCAGTCACTTGTTCAGGTTGCTGCAAGGAATCAATGCTGACTCAAAGGCACCACCCAAAAAATCTTGCTGGGTGGCAGGAGTTGAAAAGAAAGGATTAAAATTGCATGATTGGTAGGTTGCTCATAGATTAGGCTCTCTAGTTCTGCCTCAAAGTTTAGCAGGTCAAAGTATATTATGCTACTTCTGCTCCAAGTCTTATGCAGGCACAAAAGTATTATGAGGTATTAGTAGTTAGGATAGATTAGCGAAGGTAAGGGAATAAGAAATGATATTAAATTATATTTGGGTTTGCGGAAATACCATCCCAAGGAAACATAAACTGAGACCTGAAAGAGAGACCTACAATAATAGAAAGGAAAGGGAGAGAGGAGGAGAGAATGAAAGGAGGACGGGGGAAAGAAGAAAGAAGTAAAGAGAGGATGGAAGGGACAGGAAGAGAAGGAGAAAGGGTAGGGAGGGGAAGAGGAAAAGTAGGAGTAGGAGAAAGGGAAGGGAAGAAGGAAGAGGAAGGAGAGGAGGAAGGAAGTAGAGAAAGGAGGGAGGGAGAAAAGAAAAAGAAAATAAGGTGGTATTACAACAGGAGGAAGGGATGGTAAACAAAGCAAACCAAACTGTATACAGTATTATAACCTATTAAATGAAATAATAAATGTATAAGAATGATAAATGTAAAGAAGAATAGCCATTATGTGAATGTATACTTAAAATGCTATGTAAGAGAATAAAAATAAATAAATAAATTCGGAGGAAGTATTATGAGGTATTGAGAGATTTGGGGGAAGGAGACATAAAATGATTTTTTTTTCTTTTCATCACAGATTCCCTATACCAGCCTGACATCTTTCTGACCAAAAACACAACTAAGGACCAAAATAGCTTCCAGTGTGATTACTAGCAATCAGAATGTTAAGCACTTCCCATTTAATTACTATGTTCCTATGAAGAGTTGATGGGATTGATCAGAGTTCCAAGTGATCTTTTTTTTATTAAAAAAAAAACCCTAAGTATAATGTATCATGGAGATCTGTTATAATTGGTTTTCAACTTCACAGAAACAGGGGGTTTAAAATAGAATGAAAAAAATCAGATGAAAGGATGCTGAGATTGATGTAGACTTGTAGATGTACTTAATTGAAATGCACAGATTCTTATTCTGATTTTTAGGTTGGTATATTAACTGACAAAAACAATCCTGCTTATATTTCTCTTGAATAAAATGATTATTCTTACCTCAAACACAATCAGAACATAAACACCTGCTAAAATGACTGAAGCTATTGTGACTTGAGCCTCTATATTTGCATGAAGATACTGATGTGTCATAGAAAGAGGAATGATTTCTGATTCCTGAAGAAATGCCTGGATTCTTAGGGAGGTTTCTTTTCTGTGGAAAGAAATGTTAAAATTCTATTTGATAGCTGGAGTAGAAATGACCACAGGTTCATACTGCTAAAGGTTTTAAGCGTTGCTAATTGTATGCTATTCATCTTGCTGCTATTATTCTTGCTTCAATATTGTCTATGTAATGATTTAGAATATTTCAAATTATTGAGATCTTTTTAGGTCATGTTCACATTCAGCACAAAAGCAGAATTTCTGAAAAGAGAGATTTACACAAGGATATACACATAGTCCTCACTTAGCAATGGCCTCAGATAGTGACCATTCACAATTAAAACTGTGCTGAAAAAGGAACTTTGCAACCAATTCCTGCATACATGACTAAAGCAGGTCTTTGATGTGAAATTGATTAAAATTTGGTCAATTCTGGGCAGCAGGGAGCCAGCCAGAGGATTTTAATCAACTAATTAAGGTTTCAGAGATGAGCTTGTTAATTTGTGGTTAGCACTTTTTAAAGAAACACAGCTGCAGAGAAAAACAGCTCGGAAGATAAGGCCTATTTAAGCAATCTCTCCATTCCATGAGGGCAAAAAAGGAGAAGTTCAAGTTGCTATATAAGAAAACCTTATCTGAAATGAGATGGCAACATCCAGCTTCCCTTTCTTTTGCTCCCACTCTAAGTTACATGGTTTGATTAGCAACCATATCTCTTAGCATTTCATTGGAACTAATTAGTCACTAAATGAGGATACCTGTAAAAAACACAAATCAGTGTAAACATTCATAAAATGGCTTTGCTAATTTTTATTATGCCACCTGAAGAATTAAATATTTAGGCAATGAGGAAAAAAAGGATATGTTCTGGCAGCCTTCTTTTTCCCAGAAAAAGAGAAAAGAAGGGATCCATGAGACAGATTGCAAGATTTAATTCAAATGACTGGAGAGGAGCATACGCACATGCAATGGTGCCACCCATCCATCGTCCTAATGTTAGAGCAACTGTATAAATAATTATTAAAATATGTTTCAGTGGGTTTCATTGGATTCATGAACCAACCTATTCACTGTCTCAAAGATTCTAGTCACAATAACTTGCTCATTTTTCTTCAGATTTAATGCAAGAGTCCAATTATATAATATCTGCAAAAAAAAGAAAGAATGAATTAAGAAGTTTAATAGGTTTGATTACCTATGCACCAATTCCAGTTGCTAATTGGATAGAAGAGACTCGAGGCATATTGGCACATAGATATCTTAAAAACTAGTAATATATACAGTAAATTGGGTGAGAGTCATTCCTTAATTAAGCTAATAGCTCAAGATGGCCAGTTGATCAATGGAAATACACCCATTAAGGATGAAGAATCAGTGTGTCAGGGGATCAAATTAGAATGGTGTGCATTCAATCCATGGTCTTCTGTATCCTTTAAAGTGTGGGGGAAGGTGGTGTTTAGGAGAAAATGCTTTGAACTAGCTACTGTAGGTTTTATCCTCCTTTTCCCAACTTTTTGTTGGGAAGAAAAGACTAAATCATACCCTTTGCCTGCTCTCACTGTATGGGCAAAATATATGCATGTATTTAATAAATATACATATAATAAATGTTGCCCATAGATAGAAGATGGTAGTTTAAAATAAAGGAATTGGTATATTGTAAAAAAACAGAGAGAGATGCAAAATGTCTAATTGAAGTTGGCTGTAATTATACTGAAATTGCCTATACTTGGAAGCTCCCCAGATTTCTTACTGCCTTATAACTATGCCTGCTGATCTTTCTTGCTTGTATATGTAAACTAAGCAATTAACCTTATAAATTCAAACACTGAACACTATGACTTCAACATTCTATCAACCAGACCTGTTCTAATGTCTTTGTTTACTAGTGAAATGGCAAAGTTTCCATATATACCTTCTCAACTTTTAATGTGATAGAAAGAAGGGATGTAATGTTATCAAATCTTTTTAAACTGCAGGCCTCTACTCCTATACCTGATAACCAGTTAGAAATAATTAAGATGACATGGCATACAAATAAACATTCTTGGCCCATTTGCCTTGTTAATACAATTTTCATGTTGAAATCTGTTTTAGGCTCTATAATCTTCTGCATCTTTCTTTCAAGATCCATAAGACTTTTGATTCTTCTGCCTGATAAGAATATGAGCAGATTTATAAGACGGAGAGTGGGGGTTGGGAGAAGATTCAATTTTTTTAAGTCTTACTTGCTGTTGACGTCTCCTTTTAGGACTGGAGTCTTCTATTTGTCCAATTTGAACTACAATATAGTCTCTTGGTTGTCGCTCAGTTACAAAGGGCCCTCCAAGTTCTACCTTTAAAAGAGCAGAATCACTGAAACTGCTAAAGTTCACAGCTGATAGAAACACAGTTAAGGACTCCACATTTTTCTATGAATGAAAGACCTATGGTCTTCTAAGTTATGAGTTTTGTGATGCCATCATAAAAAACTAATCATGGTATCATCCCTTTTCCTCATTCTAATCTGATCTGACTTTTTACTGCTCCTGTAACTTTATATAGTTAATATAATTAATTCAAAAACAGCAAATTCCTACTTCAGAGATTTAAAAAATATGTCTCTTTGAAGAGCGTTCTGTCTAAAATTTTATTAGCTCATCTCTGATGAATGGAAGTAACCACTGATAAAAAGGAAAGAGAGAGAGAGAAAAGAAAGAAACTTCCTCAAAAGAAAATGTCGTTTGTCTTCCTTCTTCCTCGTTGTTACTTATAAGATTGAAAAATCTAGATTCCCTTGATATCAGCAAATCATTGGAGGGAGAGACTTCAAAGGTGGGTTGCTGCCGGTTCGGCCCAGTTCAGCCGAACCAGTAGTAAAATTCAGGCCTGGGTCACAGAACCGGCAGTGACCCAGGCCTGACACGTCCCCAAACCAGTTTGCCAGTGTCTTTTGTCATTGCTGGCATGGTTCTGCGCATGCGGAGAGCAATTTTTAGGCAAATGTGCATGCACATGTGGAAGCAATGTGTGGCTGGCACCTGCACGAGCGAAGCAAACAGCACACATGCAGCAAACCAGTACAAACCAGTTGAGGAACCCACCCCTGAAAGACTTAGCTTAGAAACAGTATCACAAAGATATCACTGCAAGTGGAGAAGGTGGGACTATGATAAATATCAAAAAATATTCTGCATCTAAATTTTATTTTTCCTACCCTGCACACTGATGGAATACTTTGGAGAACATGTTAAGTTAGGTTTGGCCTTCATGGCCAAAAAATGGGATAAGCACATAGAGAACCATATGTTATTATGACTGTCCCAAGTATTCCTTTGCAACATTGTTTTTTTCATCAATCTTGTATATATCTTCTGGCACATAGAAGTTGCTGTGTTATTTCCCAAAGTTCCCATGTGGTTTCAATACAACATACTGAATAGGTACTGGGTGTTGACAGGGCAACTTCCCATACTATGGTCAAATTCACATGCAACCTGGCACAAATCATCGAAAATTATGTAGCAAAAGGTGGCATCAAAAATTGATAAAAACGATTATACCCTCAATCACAATCTATATAGATACCCAGTAGATGGATGATATAAAACAGTGGTAGTCAACCTGGTCCCTACCGCCCACTAATGGGCATTCCAGCTTTCATGGTGGGCGGTAGGGATTTGCTGTACCTCTGCTTTACAAATTTTATAAAGTAAAGTTACTTCCCTACTTAATAAATCACCATTACTGTGGAACTGATGGGCAGTTAGAAAATTTTACTACTAACAGAAGTACAAAAGTGGGTGGTAGGTATAAAAAGATTGACTACCCCTGATATAGAAATATAAAGAGATATGCAGTAGTGGCCAAAATTGTGGAAACCTTTTGGGAAAAGCGTACAGTATTTTTGATGGCTAATAACACCACTTTTTTCGTAGTAGTACCATAAAATTATATATTCTCTGTTCAGGTAACATGGGTTTTAGCCCAGTTTAATCTTTTCAACCTTTGTTTGAGAGATAAGAGTCGCCTTTTTTTGTGGAATTCTAGATTTTAGGCCAAATTCCTGCAGTCTGCACCGAATAGTCCTTGCACTCAACTTTACATTGCATTGCTCCATTTCATCTTGTATGTACCCAGATGATTTTCTTCTGTCACGTAGGCACAGTCTGTTAATTCTTCTATCATCACTTGCTGTTGTGCACCTTTTCCTGCCTTTACCAGTGTAGTTTTGTAGTGACTGAGTCTCCTTATACCTCTTTAAAAACCTAGAAATGCCACTTTTGGTTAAGTTTCCACAAATTTGTCTTCTAATTTATTTATAATTGTAGCCTTGTTCACTTAATAATACTATTTTACATTGCTGTCTGGATGACCAGTCAACTCTTTGGACACCATTACTTTAATTTTATTACATTTTACAAGTTCACCAAATGAAAGAACACAAAAAAACCCAACCAACTTGATAGTGATCACATAACACAAGGGCAAATGTCCTCCTCTCAGGTTCAATACATAATATCAATAACTGAATCCTACTGTGATCTGATTGGCTCATTCCAAAATAAGATAACACCTGATTGGCTCTCTAAACACTCATGCTCATTGGCTACAATCAGATGAAGGAAAGCTACCTGACATCAGCTTAAGCAAGTTGTGCTTCCTTTCTCTGGTTATTTGGCTATATCTTTTCATAGAATACAGATAATTGAACAAACCATTGATGCATAATTTTATGGTACTACTGCAAAAAAAGTAGTGTTATTAGCCATCAAACCTCAAAAATACACTTTTCCCAAAGGGTTTCCACAATTTGGCCACTATTGTATGTAGAGATGGAAGGAGGAAGGGAGGGAGGGGGGAGGGGGAGAGAGAGATTGGTTTTCAAAAACCAATCCTCTTTGCATCCATCTATCTATATGACAGAGACCTCTTAAAAATTGGAATTGGTTTTTAATAATCTAAACATCCTACAGGTATGTTTTTTTTAAATTCTCACTATTATTATACTGTACATGATTTCCAATAGACCAGACATTACACTGCCTTCAATTGTCCACAAAAGTGGACATATAATACTGCTACACAAACATATTAAGAATCTTATACATTTGTTTTCATAATTGTCTGCAACTTTTACAATATCGAAGTTTTGAATGACTGCTATAATTTCCAGGTTGATTTGTGTACAGCAGTGTTTTTCAACCACTGTGCCGCGGCACACTAGTGTGCCGTGACATAGTGTAAGGTGTGCCGTGGGAAAATTACTTTATATATAGTCAATATAGGCACAGAGTTAAATTTTTTTAACATTTTCTAATGGTGGTGTGCCTCGTGATTTTTTTCATGAAAAAAGTGTGCCTTTGCACAAAAAAGGTTGAAAAACACTGGTGTACAGTGCTCTTCAGATCTTGACTCTTTCAATTGTGGTTCAAAAGGTTTGCTGACCTGTATTAATTAACCTAGCAGCCCAAAATACTTTTACAGCCTGTAGCCAATTTTACAATATAGCCATAATTTGTATCCACAAGAACTTCAGGTGCACATAATTATAGCTGCTTCCTTGTTCACAATACAACTAAAATATACTCTGTAATTACACAAATGGCATATTCAGAAGCCATTATAAAAATTCTTCAAATTATTAAAGAAAAAATGGAACTCATTTCACAATATATTAATATAGAACAAAGTGGCCAATGTGTAATTGTTACAGCTTCATTTGAAACACTTAACCAGAATGCTTATGGTTGTGTGTCAGTTCAGACAAGAACTGCAATTGACCTACTGAACAGAGCAACAAGATCTTTAGCTAGCTTCTTAGCAATTGAATTTAATATGAAATATGTTGTTTTAATGGCTTAAAATAGACCTAGAACTAAATTCTTGGATTATTTGCTCCCTGGGATATCCACCTAGGGGCTATCTTAAGATTTTGACATATATATTCCCGAAGACCCCTGTGCTAATTCCCCATTTATTTCTGATATTTTTTCCTCTTGCTTTCCTGATCTTTCATTCCTCAAATACAATACTATCATTGTGGATTATTTCCTCAATAATATTTCTTTCTCATTCTCTAATCATTTTCTTTATATTTCAGTTCCTTCAGCTGAGGAGAAGAAACCCCAATTCTTCATCTCCTTTTGTTGTCTTCAACGTCTGAAAAATTATCATTATGTGTGTAGCTTTTTCATATACTGGTATATATTTCAGATATCCATTTGGTCCATTTTTATAAATTCAAACTTACCCAATGACCAGAATCTCTTCATAAACAACACAAGAATATAGATGGCAAAGGTTGGTCCATTGAAACAAAGGGCTTTCAGTGATTGTCTCAAAAAAAGTCTGAGTTTTAATTCCTTTTTGTTCAAAAGTGTGGTCTTGAATTATCAACACAGCTTTCATACAGTATACAGACAGATACAATTCAGCAGGGCTCCTTCAGACATGGTGACACTGAATTTATTCAACCAATCTGGCAGGTAAAGGTAGGTGAGAGAGCCAAGTGGTTCTGTGATAAGACATCAACATTCTCAGCATTCTTTAGAGAACCTATGGGAAGTACCTCAGATTCAAAATCATTGGATGTGGGAGCAATCAAATTTGATAAATTTATCTGTCAGAACCACTTTCATTCTGTTGCTAAGAAAACTGTATAAATGTGTTCAGAAGATGAGTTTGACTCAGAGGTATTTTGATTTCTGGTATTATACTTCTGGTATACCTCTGAGTTTGACTCACAGGTATTTTGACTTCTGGTATAAATCACCAGAAAATGAGTATGACTCAGAAGAGACTTTACCATTAAAATCTAAAATCTAAAAACTCTCTTTAACTATTCCTTAATTTTCTTGCTTATCTATTTGTCTGTCTTTAATCTTTAGCCACAGTTCAAGACACTTTTCCACACATTCAGAAAAAGTCAAGAACTAATTTTCAAGTAAGCATCTTATGCCTGTAATATGAATCACCAGGCTAGGAATAAATCACATACTTCTCTATGATATTGCTAGTTTGAATTTTGATTAGCTGGTTTATTTCATAATAAGTAACACTTTTTTGCACTAGTGTTTTATTATTTCTTGCTATTTTATGTTTTACTTCTTGCCCTTCTGTTTTACTTTCTGTATTTTGCTATTCTGTTCTTTGAACTTCTCTAGAGGAGCCTGAATACTTAGGGAAACAGGATGAGGCAGTCAGATGATGTTATGAATGAATCCATTTTTAATGTTGAAAGTGGAAGACAAAAGCAAGAAATTAAATTCCAACAACTTCAGCAAATACTTTTGAAAATGTCAGCAAAAATTGTTGAAGCATGAATTTAGGATCTCAGTATGCTAATAGTTATACAAAACCCCTAAAAATAATCTAGTAGCCCCAAAGGAAATGGTTCATAAGATGAAAATCCTTTGAATATATGAAAATTTTCAACCAGAGAATCATGAGAATGTAAGCTCAGCACCACTCCATTTGTTTCTGGCTCCAATTTGCATGCCAAGGATTGGTTACACTAAAATGGTGGTTTTAATTTATGTCCTACTTTTACCTTGCTATCAATACTAAAAGAGATGAAATTAAAATATGCATGTAAAGTATAGAGCCAGGACCAAAGCTGTGTAACAGCAAATATAGAAACCCTTATAGGAATGAAGTTTAATTTTTAAAAAATACAGAAAGTAAAAAGTGAAAGCTGAAAGTGGCAACAGAGTTGATTTAAGAAAAAAGAAAAAAACAACAGTACACTATCAAAACCATTCCAAAACCAATCAACTCCTTCTCTTAGAATGAAACAGACACATATACTGTGTTTTCCTGAAAATAAGTCCCATTCTTATTTTCTTTTGGACTCCAAAATAAGCACTGGGACTTATTTTGGGGGGATTTCTTGGGTTTTTTTCATGTACAGGAGACGGCAGGTGCAGGGACTGATGGGAGTGGGAATGCTGCTACTGCTGAGTTGTCTGTCTCTGTCTCACCATCTGCTTGCTCATAGCCCTGCTGCTGGGACACTGGAACTTGGGTCTTGCTCAGGCTGCTGATATGACAAGGCAGAAGGCTGTGCAGTGTGCCAGGATCACCTCCCCCCATGCTTCTGCCAAGAACTGTGACCTCCAGAGGGCCTCCCCCCCCCACTGCCGACCTGCCACAGCCCCTTCACCAGCAGTCACCAGTGGAACTATGCTGCCTCATTCGCCATTGCCTTCAGGCTTTGCCTCTCCTCTGCCCTGTGTGGATTTGGCAGGCAGGAGCTCCATGGCAGCCCTGCAATGAGACAGATGGACGGAGGAGAAAGGGGGAGATCAGCTCCTCCTTTGTGTCCCCAAATCCCATCTTCCTGGTCTGCACCCCTGTGCTGGAAATGTGAGCAAGATATGTAATTCAATGCTACCAGTATGCCATGCAACACAAGCCATACAAAGCAATCCACTCTGACCCTCTTGGCTCCAGGATGATCCTGAATGGGGAGGAATCTCAGGGGTGGAGGCCTCCTGGTAGAACACTTTGCTGCAGCTCCAGAGCAAACCTCCCTGTTAACCACACAGGATTACAAGATTGGAGGGCTCCCCAGCCTCTGCAAACCAAACCTCATCCTGTACCGGCAGTGGCACCTCCTGCTACTGGCCTTGTGGGGGCTCATCTACACTATACTTGATCTTAGCCAAAAGGCTGAGAAGCGGCCTCATACACACTCCTGGTCACACTGCTCTCAGATGAGCTACTCCTGGAGCGGACCTCCAAGGCCTCTGGTTGCTGTTCCTGGCTTGCATTGCATGGCAGAGCATTGAGTTGCACATCCTGCTCAGCTTCCCAGCACAGAGGTGAAGGCCGGAGGCTCGAAGGCCAGGAAAGATAGGGTTTTGGAGCGCAAAGGAGGAAGGCATGATCTCCCCCTCCCTCCTCCGTCTGCCTGCCCCACTGCAGGTCCTCCACAGAACTCCTGCCCGCTGAAGCCACACAAGGCAGGGAATGAGAACAGCCCAAAGGTGAGAGCAGGCAAGGAAGCATGACTCCACTGGCGACCACTGGCAAAGGGACCCTGGCAGGTCAGCAGTGGGGAAGGCACTCCAAAGGTCATAAATATAGGTGAACTCACCCTGCAAGGATAGCAGTAGCAGGTGACAGGCAGAAGCACAGGGAGGAGCAGGCAATCTCAATGCACCACACAGCCTTCTGCCTCGATTTATGGTAACAACAGCCAGAGCAAGACCCGAGCTCCAGGACTGGTAGAACACAAACTGTGGTTGCCACGTGTTACAGAGCCACAAGGTGAACTGTGGAAGAAAGGGGCCCTTGGCTGTGAGATTTCCTGGTGCCAGAAACACCTCTAGGTACCCTGAGAGATGGAATGAGAGGCACCTCCTGGCCCTCGTTGGTTTAGCCCATCTGCAGAGTCGCAATTAAGGGGCTGAATCAGATCCATGCAAAGCTCAGTATGGCACTTTACCCACATTGCTGATCTCACCACTACACCAAGTTGCACCATACACCCCTCCCATGCTAAGACCTGGCCACTGGAGTCATGTTGGTGAGGTGTGAAGGAGCCTAGCCTCCATGAGGTTACCAGGGAAGGGAAGGAGCCACCATGCTAAGCATTGCCTCGAGAAACACTGTCCATGCTTGTGAGGGGACACGTGATTGGGTGATTAGTTGTTGATTGTTCCCGGCCCGGAGGATTGGGGGAGTAAGTTTTCTCCTCTAGCTTCATTGCCCCTTCCTCAGCTAGTGGGGGGAGTCCCAGATTCAACTCAGGCCCTCACTTTATGTGGGCTTCTGAATCGGTATACCCAGAAGCAAGGTAGAACACTCTTCTTTTAGTTACTTTTTTTACAATGTTTTATTTTCTGCCCTTGGGTCTAACTTGTTTGGGCAATTTACACATCTGTCATGCCCACCCTCTCTGACCCTCTCCTTGCCCACAGCTACTTCCAGAAACTTATCACCTTCTATGTTGGCCACACCTACCCTCCTTCACAAGGGCTTATTTTGGGGGTTGGGCTTATATTAGGTGCATGCTTAAATTAGGCTAGGGCTTATTTTCAGGATAGGACTTGTTTTTGAGAAAAAAATAGTACTATGGAAAAATTCTCTCTCTGAATACATAATAGGTATAGGATAGGTAGATGGCATAATCATTAGCTTATAATTAGGTTATAATTCACTCATTAAATAAACTTTTGTTCTGCCAAGTCTATACAAACAATTTGCATTGGCTACCCAGTCAAAAAATGTGCGAGATGATTTTCTAACATTCTAACATTGAAGCAACCCTCAAAAGAGTTATCCAAATGAGGAAGTTCTTGGCAACTTTCAAAACTGCGCCATGTGAAGTCTTTAAAGATCAGCAAATTTAATGCTTATGTGTGAAAGTGCTCAGTGACATATTTCTTGCTCATGCTGAATTATAATTATGTCTTCAAAATTTGTGTTTCACAGTATAAAGAGTGATACTCTAATGGGATTGCGCTTTTGCATTTTGTATTTTTCTGTAGATCTTTACAGCAATGCTGGGATATTTTAATGCCTTTTAGCCCTTCAATGGATGAAGGAAAGGAGTATAAGAAGGGAGAATTATACATGATTTTCTCTTCCTTCAAGTTTCACATGTTCATTGAAAAGTCTCATACAGATGTTTATGTGTGATTCCATGCAATTGAGCCAATGTTTTTCAGCCTTCAGCTATTAAACTAAAACATTACCAGAGGTGAGATGGAGTGGCGTGTCCTCCAAATTGTAGGTATTTAGAAGGCTAGTCATAATGTTTATGACTCAAATTCAATTGAATAATGTCACTAAAGGCTGTACTTCTTCTCTCAATGTATCTGCAATACAATTCTATAAAAGGATTTCTTGACTATATTTCCCTATGCAGAAATTTATATGTTTAAGTATAAATGTGCATAGATTCCATTTTAACCTGGATATCAGTTTAATGGAAGAGCAGACATAATTCTACATCTTCATCTTTATACACTCAGCAAAAATAACTTTTGTATAAGTTGATTCTGCCTTTATAGAGGAGGATATGGGTATCTTTTTCCTTGAGATTCTTTGGTAAGTAGATTGACATTATTATCACAATAAACAATTTATCTATAGGATGCATATTCAGTAGATAGATAGATAGATAGATAGATAGATAGATAGATAGATAGATAGATAGATAGATAGATAGACAGACAGACAGACACATACATACATACATATATACACACATACACACACACACACACATACATAGACATATATCTAGTCTTCTATAAGTGGAAAAACAAAGGGCAGTTTTCTCCAATAGAATCTGTAAAATGACAATTTGATTCTTTCAGCTCTTTTCCTCCTTTTGTCTGTATTACACATTATAATTCTGCATACAGCTGAAGTTATTAGGAACACAGCATGAAGAGAAGTGTAGTAATGAATGACAAAGTAGAGAAAGTAATTTAAAACAATCCAAATTGTTTGTTTCATTGGGGTAAGAGACATTTAATACACTTACCCAAAGCTTGATATACTGGTGATGATTTTAAATCTGAAAACTAGGATAGTTTGAACAGCTGATGTCACAGCAATATTGGATGTGAGGAGTGGGTCTCCACACTCCCACACTGAGTTCTCCATGTTAGAAGGCTCTGAAAGGAGCTAAAGCCACCCTGGAGGGATGGTGAAGAAAAGAGGGACGCCCTGCAGGTTGCAGAGAGTTGCAATCTCTCCCACTTGTTCCAGGGAGGGTGGGTTTCCCTCTCCTTCATGACAAGGAGAAGTGGCAGCCAAAAATGGATGCTGTGAAGTTGGGATAGCTGAGGTTATCTGAGCACTCTAAATTAACAGTGAATGGAACTGGATGAGATGATTCCTTTTTTACTCAAAACCTAACCTTAAAAAGAAAAGAGGAAAAAAATCCAAAAGAGACTCTTAACTATTTATTAAAGCAGTGAAGAATCATTAAAGACCCAAAAGAAAAGAGCTAAGAGAGGAAAAGTTAAAATTTTCAAAGCACAGAAAATTGGATGGCTAAATTGGTAAGCATTATTTTGGAAAGGCATTTTATATTGCTGGTTCTATCTACTTTAATAATTGACTTTGCTCTTATAAATAAAATTTAAATTGGATTTAATAGCTGTTAGAACTGAAACAATGCTAAAACCTAAGCTGAGAGTGCTATCTACTGATGAAGGAAAATATACCATACTCAACAACCCTGGGAATTTTCTTGATTAGAAAAATAAACATTTATTTGGAGAACCGTGGTGACATTTACTATGCTATACTTATCTACCTTTTGACTATGGGAGATTCAACAGTGAGAACAAGGAAAATACCTAAATAAAGCAATTTTTGAATGCTATTAAACTTATAGAGGGCACATAAGAAAATATTTGGAAAGTTTCCTGGACTATCTGAATGTCTGATTGAATAACTGTGGGATATAAAAGAAATGTGACTATAGTATTCTTTGAGGAGCAACATTAGGCCTGAACATATGATTGTTGAACTATTGAGTAAAAGTGGACATATTAAAATAAGACAAGATGTTCCATATGGGGAAAAAGAATGGAAGTTC